AAAAAAAAAAAAAAAAAGAAATGCTACAAGCAAGGCTGGCCAAACTAAGGGACAGATGCTGCAGAAGGAGGCCAGACAGAAAGAGCACCCTAGCCCACAAGCAAAGATAATGACTTGGAGAAGAACGTCCAGCAGGTTCCAGAATGTTCTGAAACCTGAGGCTGCTGATAGGTCCTGCCCAGAAGCTTTCTATAAGCAATTAAGGCAGGATGCCATTCTCTCCTTGGTAATCTGACAACAAGTGCCAGCAGTTCATGTCACAGGAGCAGGGTCTTCCTTTTTTTCCTTTGAGGTTATGTGCTAGTGGCATGGCCTGCTTTAATGGCTTTAAAAGCTTTGCCTCCCCAAATGTGGAGTGTGGGTCACCCTGGGCAAGTTATTGTGCATACAAGCAAAACGGTGATGCAGGAGGGGATAGTGCCAGGCGCAGAAAGCCTCCCCCACCCAAGTGGTAGGCTCAGGTCTTTCGGAAACTGCTGGTCACAGCTGTCTTTTTCCCACAGAAGCAGGGACAATCTGGCACATTCGAGCCCCTTCTGTATCCATCCTTTTGACCCCAGAAATGTGGTCTGGACCCCAGCTTCTCCTCAGTGCCATACCACAATACATGGCCCCACGTGGGCCCAAGCCCTATTTCTGCTTCTGTTAGAAATGTCACACTGAAGGAAGGCATGGTGGCTCATGCCTATAAACCCAGCATTGAGAGGCTGAGGCAGGAGGATCATTGCAAGTTTGAGACCAGCCTGGGCTACAAAGTAAGCTCAAGGTCAGCCTGAATTGCATAGTGAGACCCTGTCTCAAAAAGACAAACACACACACACACACACACACACACACACACACACACACGCGAACTGTTGTACTGACCCATGCGGCAGGTTCCTGTTTTCCAGGCAAGGCCAGGCCTTATCCTGAAAAGCCATGTATGGGGCAAGCTACTTGATAGACCACCCAAGATCCAAGGATCTTTGTGCCTGTGTCCCCACACCACCCTCTTATCCACTGCCACCAGTCATCTTTCTAGAGTCACATTCCTTCCAATTCAAACATCTTCCTTGGCTAACTATTGCTTTTCCCTAAAATGACTTTTTGCAACCCAGTGCCAGCTAATAACCTAGGCAGTCCATGCCCAACAATCTCTGCCCCAGTTTTCTCCCCAAACCGACCACTACCCTTCCAGAATGTGCCCAAGTGCATCCACACCTGCAAACTGGCAAGTTTCTTCTGCCCAAAATGCCACCTCTCCCTCCCTGCTTGGAAAACCTCTATTTTATTTCTCTAGACAGACCAAAAATAGCCCTTCCCTATCTTTCTTTTGGAAAGTCTGTCCTCTAGCAGCACTTGAAATATTTTTCATCTTTCAACCGTTCTGCTGCAAACACCTGTACAGGTGTTCACCCAGGGATCCAGGGGGTCATAACGGGTCAACCTCACTTAATAGCTGTAGAATAGCAGTGCTCAGCTAATGCCTGTCTGGTGGAACAGGCATGAGCCTGACAGCCTCAAGCTCACAGCCCCTGTGAAGTTTGCCATCAGCTCCTTCTACTATGTACCCAATTAATCTATATGTCTTATTGCAGTGCTGCACAAAAACATGTCTATGTAAATTGGTAAGCAGGCTAGAGATGACCCTTGTCAAAAGTTTGCTCTTTATGTTGCTCAATAATCATGCAGCACAATCAGCCTAGGCCAACTGGAGCCATCTGCCTAACTCTGACTATTATGGAGACCTGGAACCGCTTTCCAGTGGTCCACACACTGCACAATGCTTAATCCGTAAAGATGCTCAATACACACAACCACTGGCAATCAGAACTCACTCTGAGACAACCGCCACCCATGTGTTACAGGTTTTCATACAAAACACTCTCAATGTGGGCTAAGTCTTTATCTAAAGGAGATATTTCAGGGATGAATCCTCATTAGCCACTTTCCAGCCATGCCATCTTAGACATGAGAGAGAGAGAGAGAGAGAGAGAGAGAGAGAGGCGGCCAATCCTCCTGTTCCTGCAGGCCAGGAATAGGGACATGGTCTTGGCCATGTGCCAAATGGACTCCTGGGGCAGGTTGGATGCAGCTTGCTGGACAGCTGCTTTGGGCTGGGCTGCAGATCACTCTCTTTCCCTTTAAAAATTGTCAGAAAAGAAGAGACTAAGGGATGGCCAAATAGCTCAGTGGATTAAAGCACCTGCAAACAGGTGCAGGGGCCAGGGGTTCAATCCCTGGGCCTGCTGTGCTGGTCCCAACCCCAGCGCATGCTGAGATGGCAATTGAGACTGCGCGTGGTGGTGCGCACGTGTAATAAAAATTTAAAAGGGCTGGGGGCGGGGGAGATGGCTCAGTGGAATAAGCACTTCCCTGGCAAGCGCAAGGGCCTGAGTTCAATCCCAGGTTCTACAAAAAAATTTAAAAAATAAAAGGGCTGGGGATATAGCTCAGTGCAGAAACCTTGAGTTCAACTCTCAGGACTACAAGGGGGAAAAAACAGGCAGAAAAGAACCAGCTTTATGAGACTCTCCCGCAAAATACTGACCCCCTCCCGAGACAGATGGAGGAGAGGGGCTGGGCTGAGGCTTCTGAATCTCCCAGCTGACCTGCTCAGCACATTGGGCACCAGTACTTATCTGGGCTGTTCCCTAAAGGAGCAGCATATGGAGACAGGTGTGAGGCCGATCAACAGACCTGGCTTGGGAGAGGCACTCAATTCAGGGGGAGGACAGACAGGAAAACTGGAAGTCCAGTTTCTTTTTTCTTTCTTTCTTTCTTTCTTTTTTTTTTTTTTTTTTGCGGAACCGGGGATTGAACTCAGACCCTTGTGCTTGCCAGGGAAGCACTTATTCCACTGAGCCATCTCCCTGGCCCCTCCAATTTCTATTGGTAAAGAGGAAAAGTGGCAGAGTTCTCCAGGGCACGTCACATGCATGGCAATGGTCCCCACCATGCGCACCAGCATGGATCCCAAGGTTGCAGAGGGAAGGAGGCCACTCCAGGAAGGAAGTCCTCTCAGAGTCCCAGGTCATTTAAAGAACAGGGCTGGAAAAAGCACAAAGAGACCCAAAGAATCTGGGGGGAATTAAAAACACAGACACATGTTAACTAGACCCCTATGGGGCCTGCCATCGGGAGCCAGGCTGGAGTCCACCCATGTCCTGTCCATGCCCCTCCAGTAGGCTGCCCCACTCCCTGCCCCCACACAAGGAACAGGAGGCAGCCCTGGAGGGGAAGTCTCTGTTCAGACTCGTGTTCTAACTGCTTTGTGCCTCAAAACCACGGCTAGCTCAGATTTTGCTTTTTTCTCCTCTCCCCGCTGCTGTTAACACGACATCTGGGTTTGAGATCGAGGGTGATACACTGCCTGATGAATTCCCTGCCAGATGCTGGCTACTGGAATGCACAGCCATCGACTAAATTCAAAGCACACACAACCACAGTGCCCCTACCCCCCTCCTGCGGGCTGAGGACACACATGATGTCACTTCCCTCTTTTGAGGAGCCTGCAAAAACAATTCCCATTGCACCCAGCCAGCGCGAGGATGAAAAAGAACTGGGTGGACGGAAAGTCAAGGTCACAGAAGACAATCCAGAGGGTACAGGCCATGTTCAGATGCTGTCCAGGATGACAACTGCCCAGGAAAACAGAGGCGGGGACCTTCCCGCTTTTGTCCTGGGAGGGGGCAAATACCATGGGTTGCTGGAAACCCTGGGTGCCGTGAGCACATGCTGTGGCTGAGGCTTGGCTGGGGGACACAGCACATGCAACGGATTCCAGCCAGAACCTGCTGACCCACCCATGGTTCCCGGTTTTCCTTCCGAATGATCCCCTTGGCCACCACCCACACGTGGGCCGCTGTGTTCTCAAGACACACACACGGACACCTTCTGAATCCCCCTCTCGCTCTAGAAGCCCTGAGGACATTCCTGGGGAAGTATAAACAAGTCTCACTTGGGATTTATGAAGGACACCGGTTCGCTTTACATCTTGCTGCACTGCCTCCTTCTCTCCCTCCCCCTCCCATAAACAAATCCCAAGGGACGGTCTCCACTTGGGCCATTCTGCCAGCCCAAGAACACAGGCGAGCCTGGAGATGAAAACCTGAGGTCTAGACACCCATGTCCTCACCCCAGTGGG